TTTCAAAAAAAGAAAAAAAAAAAAAAAGTCAGACGTTATAGAAGGCTTGGCATGATTAGTAACCTGATTTAACCCAGTAGCCTGAAAATAAAGGCTACAACTGTGGCACTTTTACTAAAATTGACCATGTAGCAAGCCATGAAGAAAACTTTAATAAATTTTTAGACAACATTTTCTGATTGTAATGCGATAAAATTAGAAATTTGTAACAAGATCAAAAGCCCAAAAGTCCTCTTCTTCCTGGAAAATGAAAGAATAAAAGACTCTATTTTAACAGTTCTTGGGTGAAGGAAAAATACTGACAGAAATCACAGAGCATCTAGGAAACAACAAAACACTACATATTAGAGCTTAATGGTTATAGTTAAAGTAGCATTCGGAGGAAATTTGTGGTCTTAAGAAATTACATTAATTACAAAAGAATGAAAACTAATTATCTCACTCTGGGATCAAATAATAAAGGTAAACCTGTAATTACAGAATGCCACAAGAATGAAAATGAAAACGTTATATATCAAAACAAACGAGGCAATGCCTAGACAGCAGTGAGCAGAGAAATTTTCATATAAGTAAATATTTTCATTATCTGGAAAAAGGGAGTGAAGTAAATAAAGCTTCAATTCAAGAAGTAGTAAGAATAATGATAATGAAAAGCCCTTCAAACATCGGGACAAAAAAGAAAAAGAAAAAAGAAAAAGGAAAAAAAAAGCACAAAAAATTGGAAAAAAAATTATAGAGTTGAACTGAAAACTCAAATAATTGGCACTTTGATTGGAATGAACTAGTAAAATAGATAACTCTCCAGTACATCTACTTTAGAGAAACAGGGAAAACCAAGCCAAAATCCGTAAGGAAAATAGGGACGTAACAGTAGAGATAACTGGGAGTTAGGACATTTTAGAAAAATTCTAAGTATATTTCTATGTTAATAGATTTGAAAATCTCCTTAAAATGAGATAATGTGAAGGAAAAGAGAAATACCAGAACTGTCTCAAAAACCAGCAAAAACTATGAAAGAAACAGGAAAATTATCGAAGAATGACCTTCAAAGAGAGAGCTGGAGCCAGGGAATTATGAAGTGAATTTCCTAAATTTTCAAATAATAAATAATTCCTCTGCTATATATGCTGTTTTACAGCAGAGAAAATATTAAAATGTAGAAAACTTTGATTTTTATAGAGCTAGAATTACCACCAAAATCTGATAAAGTTCAGCCATATGTATAAACATCATTTATGACATGAATATATATGAAAAATCTTAGAGAAATAATAGCAAATAAAATTTAACCAATAATAAAACAATGTCATGAAAACCAAATTGGCTTTATTTCAGGAATATAAAAAGTTCAAACATTAGGAAATCATGAACAGTAGTCTTCATATCAATAGGTAACATTAGCAAAGATTATTTCGGTTGGTGCTGAAAAGCATTCAATAAAGTTCAATATCTATCGATGATTTATAAGATCAAGTAACATATTGGAAATAGGAGTTTCCTTGATGTTAAAAGGAGCATCTTTGAAGCCAACGACCAACATCCAGCTTTATTACTTCAGAAGATTTCTTTACTGTGAAAATTGAACCTGTATTTCTCAAGAATGTTGCTAAGTGTGTTTGTCTGGTGCGAAAGTCCATGGCTTACTGATTGAAGATTACTGAAATGCTCTATGACTTAATATAGGTTAGGTACTGAGTGAAACACTAGGGCAGTCCTTTTGACAGAGACAAGACTCACCATGATCACGTAATGTTATCACTAACATTGTTCTGAATTTTCTAATCATTACAATGTCAACAAAAAGAAATAGTTCGTTCATTTTAGGAAGGAGAAGACAAAATTATCCCTGTGTCTGACTGACTTGCTTACCACCTGAAGAGGACCGATTGAAAAATTAGACCATCAGGAGAACCCCTTAAGATGGTAGCAACTATTTGGAAAATCTATCGCAAGAAAATTTACATTCATAATACCAACAAAAAAAGCTTCATGAGGAATAAACTCAACAGTAAACACCTAGGCTCTGTGTGAAGATGCCTATAAATAATAAAAGTCTGCGGGAAGCTGAGGATCAGATCATGTTCCTGTATTAAAATGTTAATACTACAGAGATACCAATTCCCCTGTTCAAAATTGGTTTTAAGTTTAATGCAAGCCTAACAAAAATTCCAAAGAAACATTTGTTTAGAATGGAACTTCATGTTTTAAAATTTCATCTGGAAGAACATCAGGTAATGAAACAGGTTATGAAGCCACAGTGATTAAAACATGGTATCAGTGAAAAACACACAGATCAACAGAGCAGAGCAGAGCAGAGATCACAAACAGAAGGATGCGTGAGCATTTGACGTCTTACACAAGTCATGGGAAAGGGAGAAGAAGTTTAAACAAATATGATGCTTAGATAATTACCTAATTATTAGGCAAAAAATAAATTCTTGCCTCACACTGTGTACCAAATTGAATTGAGTGTTGAACAATCTTGCTATGAAGACATTGTAAGTATAATTTGAAAGGCAAATGCTATAAACAAAAAGATCTTTAGATGAGACGTTCTAGAAATTTCTAGTATGGCTAAAATAATCGTAAATATAAACAAAAATAAGATATCCAAACATGACCATACATATAACATAAACATACCATAAATAAAAATATCATAAATATAAACATAACTGAAAGACACAGATTGGGACAAATATTTGATAGACTAAAGGTTAATATCCTTTATAGACCAAGAAGTCTCTCAAATCACCACAGAACAGAAAACAGACACAAATAGATGGAAAATGTACAAGTGACAAGGATGAGCAGAAGAAATACAAATGGCTGATAAACCCATGCAAGTTTCTCTATTGTTTTTATTATCTCTATTAAATAAATGCAATTAAAAATTCAGCATACCATCTTCCATCTATCAAATTAATAAAGTTAAAGAAGGGTGAGAATGTACAGTGATGGTGAAAGACTGGGAGTGTGGGCACTGTGGATACACTAGTACACTGTGGATAGTATGTGCATCTGTACAGTTTTCCAGAGAGCAATTTGACTGTGCACACCAAAGATCTTAAAATGCGCATACTTCTTGACCAGGAATTCTTTTTCTAGGAGCTTATCATAAAAATAAATTTAAACAAGTACATAGAATACTTGGAGTTTTTAAAACTCCTATACCCTATAAGTGGTTTAAAAAAATAATGGTGGCTGGGTCTGGTGGCTCATGTCGATAATCTCTATACTTTGGGAGGCTGAGGTGGGAGGATTGCTTGAGGCCAGGAGTTGGAGACCAGCCTAGGAAACATAGTGAGACCCCATCTTTACAGAAGGTAAAATTTAAAAAAAACAAAATTGAAAAACCGAAAAACTAAATGTTCATTATATCTTGTGATACATTTATAAAATTTAATATCATGTTGTCAGTAGGAAGAGTATTATGGAAGTATATTTTTTGATCTTTTAAAGATTTTCATGGGACATCATTAGATTAAAAAACAAGTTACAGGCCACGCACAGTGGCTCACACCTGTAATCCCAGCACTTCGGAAGGATAAAGTGTAAGGATTGTTTGAGTCCAGGAGTTTGAAACCAACCTGGCAATATGGCCAGAACTTGTCTCTACAAAAAAAAAAAAAGAACAATTACCTCGGTGTGGTGACACACCTGTAGTTCCAGCTACAGGAGGCTAAGGTAGGAGGATCATTTGAGCCCAGGAGGTCAAGGCTGCAGTGAGCCATGATTCCATGATTGCGCCACTGCACTCCAGCCTGGGTGACAGAGTGAGACTTTTCCCCTCACTTGCCCCCTCCGCCTACAAAACAAGCTACAACACAAGTTTGTATCTTGTGAGTTCATAATTTTGGTTAAAAAATTATATATATAAAGAAGATATATAAAGGACATATACCAAATGCTTTCAAATAATTAGTTATTTTTGAGAATCAAAGAATTTGAGACATATTAAATTTTAAAAATATTTGCTTATATTTTTCTAAATTTTAAATAACAAGTCTGTATCACATAATTAAGTATTTATTAGAAAGGATAGAACTTGAGCTTCAAGGAAGAGACAGAATTTGAGCTGGGCTTAAATGAGAAATAGTATTTAGAAAGATGATTTCAGATGTGAGCGATTTAACATGTATATTAACCTGTTACTGTTTATTAGGTACATTTTATCAGCATAATAAAAGAAACCTTGCTGTTTTATTAAAGCCTAAGCAATTCTAAAATACTGCTTTAACAGATAATAATCATTATTATTTGAGAAGAGACAGGTACATCAATTGAGTTAACACATTTAAAGTGATGCTCAGAAGACATGCTTAGCTTGGTATTTGATACCATTGTCATTGGATATCCTGTACGTGAACGTTTTTGCTTGAAATGCTGACCCATTAATTTTCCAGACATTTGTCACAGTCTTCAAATAAAATGTCAGTCCACTCTTTTGTTCATTCATAATCTTTTTATTTTAAAAAAGTACTGCCCATGTCTCTGATGACTCTCAGGTACTTAGAATATTTGATTAACCAGAAAACCCTATTCCCTAATGGAGCTGAACAAATATCGTCCCTTTTGCTCCCTTCCCCTGGACTTTTCTTTCTATCTCCTCCTCTGTTCATCCCTGGCTCCCTCTGTGACCTCTCTACCTCTCCAACCCTGTACTTTTCTTTGCCTTCATTCCTTTATTTTATTTTTTTGGTCATTTTCCCTCCTTTTCTTCTTCTCTCTTCCTTCCCTCTTTCTGTTCACTCTCATACTGTTGCGTTTCCCCTCCTTCTCTTGTTTTCTCTTCCTTTGTTGTTGCTCTACTTTCTTTCTTTCTCTTGTCCCCTCCTCTAATCCCCAATGCATGGCAGGTCTATGACACACAACTGGAGAAAGTGGAGGCCTTTGAGGGCCTGTCTGACTTTTGTAACACCTTCAAGCTGTACCGGGGCAAGACGCAGGAGGAGACAGAAGATCCATCTGTCATTGGCGAATTTAAGGTAATCCTTGAGGACATGTCCCTAACCCAGGTGGGCCTAAGGCTATGGTGTTAGAGCAATAAGTAAAGGGGAGGGGTCGTAACCACAGTGGTGACCCTGTGCTGATGTTGGTAACTCTGTGGGTATCAGAGATGGTGATGGTGATGCCACCAACACAGAATCTGACTGTGGTGCTGGGATGGTGTTGGGCTTGGTGGTCTTGGTGGTGGTGACTCTGGTAGAGATGAGAGTGATAGTCATGATGGTGATTGTGTTGGTGACAATTACATTAGTTTGGTTTTAGTCTGTTTTCATGCTGCTGATAAAGACACACCCAAGAATAGGAAGAAAGAGATTTAATTGAACTTACAGTTCCACATGGCTTGCAAGGCCTCAGAATCATGGCGGGAGGTGAAAGGCAGTTCTTACATGTCAGCAGCAAGAGAAAATGAGGAAGAAGTAAAAGCAGAATTCCTTGATAAACCCATCAGATCTCTTGAGACTTATTTACCATCACAAGAATAGCACAGGCAAATGGCCTCCATGATTTAATTACCTCCTCCTGGGTTCCTCCCACAACACATGGGAATTCTGGGAGAAACAATTCAAGTTGAGATTTGGATGGGGACATAGCCAAACCATGTCATTCCAACCCCTGACCCCTCTAAATCTCATATTCTCACATTTTAAAACTGATTATGCCTTCCCAATAGTCCCCTAAAGTCTTTACTCATTTCAACATTAACCCAAAAGTCCACATTCCAAAGTCTCATTTGAGACAAGGCAAGTCCCTTCCATCTACGAGCCTGTAAAATCAAAAGCAAGCTAGTTACTTTCTAGATACAATGGGAGTGCAGGTTGGGTAAATGCATCTGTTCTAAATGGGAGAAATTAGCCACAATGAAAAGGTTATAGGGCCCATACAAGTCTGAAATTCAGTGGGGAGTCAAATTTTAAAGCTCCAAAATGATCTCCTTTGACTCCAGGCCTCACATCCAGGTCATGCTGATACAAAAGGTGGGTCCCCATGGTATTGGGCAGCTCTTTTTATGTGGATTTGCAGGGTACAATCTCGCTTCTGGCTGCTTTCATGGGCTGGCATTGAGTGTCTATGGCTTTTCCAGGTGCACAGTACAAGCTGTCAGTGGATCTACCATTTTAGGTTCTGGAGGATGGTGGCCTCCTTCTTACAGCTCCAGTAGGCAGTGCTCCAGATGTGGGGTTCAGAACCCCCAGATTTCCCTTCTGTACTGCCCTAGCAGAGGTTTTCCAGAGGGTCCTGCCTCTGCAGCAAACTTTTGCCTAGGCCTCCAGGCATTTTCATACATCTTCTGAAATCTAGGTGGAGGTTCCCAAACCTCAGTTCTTGACTTCAATGCACCCACAGGCTCAACGCCACCTGAATGTTGCCAAGGCTTGGGGATTCCACCTTCTGAAGCAACAGCCCAAGCTATACATTGTCCCCTTTCAGCTACAGTGGGAGCAGCTGGGACACAGGGCACCAAGTCCCTAGGCTGCACACAGCATGGGGACCCTGGGCCAGGCCCACAAAACCACTTTTTCCTCCTGGGCCTCTGGGCCTGTGATGGGAGGGGCTGCCATGAAGATCTCTGACCTGGCCTGGAGACATTTTCCCCATGGTCTTGGGGATTAACATTAGGCTCTTTGCTACTTATGGAAATTTCTGTAGCCGGCTTGAATTTCTTCTCAAAAAATGGGTTTTTTGATTCCTGTAATGGCTGCTTCCTGGAAGGTAGTGTCACGTGGAACCTCTTAATCTCAGCATCCAGGGCTCTAGGAAGGGAAAATTTCAAGTCAGATAGAATTCTATATGTGCCATTTCTTTGGAACCTTCAGCCTTCAAGATTCCAACATCATGACTTCAGTTTCAACACAGTTGTCCTTAGTCCTTATGCCACTGCTTTTGGTGCTGCCTGTTGTCAAAGCAGCAGAAGCTGGTGATGCAGTTGCCCTCTTGTTAGGTGTGGTTCTCAGCATTACAGGCATTTGTGCCTGCTTGGGGGTATATGTACAAAAAAGAAATGGACAGATGTGACTTTGAAAGGCCTACCGAATCAGACCTCACCCTTTTCAACCTTTGTGCTATAGAGGCTAAATCTGAGCTTTGGTGTCTGAACATTTCCAAGAATCAGTAAATTAGGGAGTTTTACATTTTTTATTGTTTCCATGAAATGGGAACAAACATACATATATAAATTGTAAAAAAAAATGTTTTCTTTGCAACAAATAATGCACAGAAAAATGCAACCTATAATTTGTATTGCTAGTTGGAAAGCAGGTCAAAGAAGTAAGATGGCTGAAATTTACATAAGTAATATTTCATAGTTTTAGAATTCTCAAAGCACATGACATAGGAAGAAGGAAGTTCTTGCCCAGAATCTTAGAAAATCACCGCTGTTCAATTATAATCACTGCCTCCTGAATCGTTGAGGAGTCTTTCTCCATCTTTTTATTAGATTTTTGTTTTGTTGTCTTTCAAGTTAATATTGTATTTAGACATCAGAGAGTCAGCCAAAAAGGGAAACTTTTATCTCTGGGGAAAAAATGTTTAGAAAAATGTATTCAGTATATCTAACACTGAAATGCAGAAAAAAATTAATGTTAAAAAACTATAAACGTTGACATGGAAAAGAGATTTATTGTTAAGAAAAAACTTTATATTAACTGAGTAACATCCTTTTGATGAGAAGAGCTATGTTAAATATAAACCCATTATGTTGTTAAAAAAAATGGGTTTTTCTTTTCTGCTGCATCATCAAGCTGCAAATTCTCTGAACTTTTGTGCTCTGTTTCTTTTTTAAAACAGAATACTTTTAACAGCACCCAAGTCAACCTTTGAATGCTTTGCTGCTTAGAAATTTCTTCCACCAGATACCCTAAGTCACCTCTCTCAAGTTCAAAGTTCCACAAATTTCTAGGGTAGGGGCAAAATGCCACCAGTCTATTTGTTAAAATATAACAAAAGTCACCTTTGCTCCAGTTCCCAACAAGTTCCCCATCTCCATCTGAGACCACCTCAGTCTGGATTTTATTGTACATATTGCATTTTGGGCAAATCCATTCGACAAGTCTCCAGGAAGTTCCATAGTTTCCCATATTTTCTTGTCTTCTTCTGATTCCTCCAAACTGTTCCAACCTCTGCTTGTAACCCAGTTCCAAAGTCACTTTCACATTTTTGAATATCTTTTCAGAAACACCCTGCTCCTGGTACCAATTTATTGTATTAGTCTGTTTTCACATTGGTGATAAAGATATACCCAAGACTGGGAACAAAAAAAGGTTTAATTGAACTTACAGTTACACATGGCTGGGGAGGCCTCAGAATCCTCAGAATGGTGGGAGGTGAAAGGCAGTTGTTACATAGTGGTGGCAAGAGAAAATGAGGAAGACGCAAAAGCAGAAACCTCTAATAAACCCATCAGATCTCATGAGACTTACTTATTATCACAAGACTGGCACAGCCCCCATGATTCAATTATCTGCTCCTGGGTTTCTCCCACAACACATGGGAATTCTGGGAGATACAATTCAATTAGAGATTTGGGTGGGGACAAAGCTAAACATATCAACAATGATGATAAAAATGAAAGTTAACCCTTTCTTCTTTACAGGGCCTCTTCAGAATTTATCCCCTCCCAGAAGACCCAGCCATCCCCATGCCCCCAAGACAGTTCCACCAGCTGGCTGCCCAGGGACCACAGGAGTGCTTGGTCCGTATCTACATTGTCCGAGCATTTGGCCTGCAGCCCAAGGACCCCAATGGGAAGGTAACTTTCCTAGAGCCCTTACCTCCCCCAGAGTAGCAGGCTCAGGTACAGGTGGCCTGCAGAACCTGGGCACAAACTCTGCCTCAGGGAGTTCATAGTAGGTTAGGAAACAGACACACAAAGCTGAGAGGTGCCTGGATGGAGTTCTGTTAAGGACAAAGTACTCTAGAAGGTCAGGAAAGGTCAACATCAGTACAGGAGTTTGGGAAGATGGGGAAGGCTTTCTGGAAGGAATAGGACTCTTAGGATAGATGAGATTTTGACAGACTGGGAGGGAGAAGAAAATAGTGTTTTAAGAGGGGTCAAGAGCATAGGCAAAGATTTGAAAGAAAATTGCTTAATATATGTCTAGAACAAGAATAAGGCATAAAGATAAGTAAGGCTGAAGGTGTAGGTTAGGACTCTCAATGGTGAGTGGGGAGGAGTGATGGGGGAGAAGAGCAGGGTTAGTAACTGCCATGCCTAGTCCTGGTGGAGCCCCAGGCAATAGGGAATGCTGGTAATGCTCATCCTGTCTTTATTTAAAATTTTGATATTTTGTTCATTATGGACTATTGACATTGATTTTAATTTTTAAAATATTGCATTTAAATACGGTTTATCTTGATCACTATTTTGGCCCTTCGTTACATTTTGTGCCCAACGCAAATGCCTAAGCTGTTTGCCTCTAGTCATTGCCTGAGATGGAGAGGGGAGATTTGAAGGAGGGAAGGAGTCTGGCATTATGGGGAGATGCAGGGGTGGGAGACAAAAGAAATGTTGGGAGGAGAAAGAAAGAGGAAAGAAGAGAGGCAAGGATGAGGCTCATGCATGTTTACAGGCATGAGGCTGGGTCCCCTCTTGTCTCATTAGGCAGGTTTAGGCCTAGTGTGTGTCCTTCAGGTGGTGGGTAGAAGTCTGGTGTCCCATCCTTGTAGCCCCACCTTTCCAGGGGCAGAACAGAGCAGTCCTTAGCCTGGGCACCACTGATAGCCTCCAAAATGTGGTCATGGCCAGCAGGTTGGTTTATACGCTTAAAGCCTTCTCAATGCCAGACTAACCTTGGGCACTCTGCAGCCCTAGCTGCTGGGCCACTGCTGAGGGGTGCTGGTGTTTGCAGGAAGCATGGCAGGGGGTGACCTTCTGGGCTAGCCTAGGCTGCCATAGGCTGACTGCCCCTCTCCTTTTCCATATGCTTAAGCAGAGGTCTCAGAGAGGAACCCAGCCTGTGTGTTTCCGGTATGGGCCTGGCCTCCCCCAATTGAGAAGTAGACTGGGAGTGTGAAGGGCTTAGGCACCCATTCCCACTGCTGGAGCCAAGGCCAGAAGCCCATGTCAGGGGCCAAGTGGAGTGGTGTGGTATGTAGGATGGGCTCTGTCCTGGCAGGACACAGCCCGCATCTCAGCTTCCTGAGGGCTGCTCCCTCATACCATCCAGAGGCAAGGCACTCACAAAGCCTGAAAGACATGTTGGGAAAGTGATTTCACAGAAGCATTTTATCTCCTCCTCCAGTGTGATCCTTACATCAAGATCTCCATGGGGAAGAAATCAGTGAGTGACCAGGATAACTACATCCCCTGCACGCTGGAGCCTGTATTTGGAAAGTAAATTGGGGCATCTTGGGTCTTGGGGTGGAGGACCCAGACAGGATGACCTACAGTCTAGTGGGGGAGTTGTGGCTGGCACTGTGAAGTCTCTACCTCCTGGAGCAAAACTATATTCCTTAAATCTTGCATGTCTATGGTGGCATAGCTTCGGCTAGCTCTTCTTTAGCTGCTAAAGACTTGATTCCAGCAGAAGCTCCTAGTTAAACACTAAACAATTACCCCTAAGATCAGAAATCTACGTGGCTTGAGCCCAGGAGTTTGACACCAGTCTGGGCAACATAGCAAGGCTCCATCTCAACAAAAAATAAAAAAACTTAGCCAGGCATGATAGTGCATGCCTGTGGTCTGAGCTACTTGGGAGGCTGAAGTGGAGATGTAACCTCAATTCCCTTGAGCCTAGGAGTTTGAGGTTACAGTGATCTGAGATAACACTACTGCACTCCAGCCTGGGTGACAGAGCAAGACCCTGTCTCAAGAAAAGAAAAAAAAAAAGGAAAAGAAATCTATGTGAAAGCTCAGAAGATGCACTTGCTAATTCTTCTTTTTTTTAAGATAAACTTTTACTTTGGAATAATTTTAGATTTACTCAACAGTTACAGGGATGGTGCAGAATTTCCATATACCCTTTACTCAATTTCCCCCACTGATAACATCTTACCTAACCATGGGACATTTGTCAAAATGAAGAAATCGTCTTTGGTGCATTATGATTAACCAAACTCTAGATGTTATTTCTTTTTAGGATTTCGTCCGTTTTCCCACTAATGTCCTTTTACTCATGTCTCGGTGTATGACAATCTGGTATACGTATCACATTTAGTAATGAATTCTCTGTAAGTCCCTCATGTGTCTGTAGCAAGAGCTAGAGGAAGGATGTAGACCCAAGATAGTAAAATGATTCCTGAAATCTAAGGACAAGGAAAGGAAGAATCAAGGCCCATTGCATGGAGGTAGTTCCTAGGCATCCTGAGTTGCTCTTTGGATGTGAGCTTGTTTAGGCCAGAGAGGGGAGGATGCAGAGGTAGGGTGGTGGCTCTTTCTCTGGCACCTGCAGAAGACGCCTGCTGTTCTGATGTCATCAAGTCACATACTGCATTTATAAACTGGAATCTGTTGAGTTAGTTGTGGTCACTCACCCTGCAGTGAGGACCCAATCTCCTTGGGGAAATGCAGCTTTTGAAGGTGAACCAGCCCTGGCCAGTGATGAGCCATGACCAAGCGGGGCTTGGAGGGAAGTGCTAGGTGGGAGAGAGGAACTCTGTATAGTGAGCTCCAGGTACTGGCGCAGGGCTTCAGGCTAGTGGTGATGGGGCAGTGGGCAGGGCCTCTTCCACAGTGGGTGGGGGTGTGTCAGGGCTCAGGGGAGATAGAGGAGCCAGTGTAGGAATACACCCATCCCATGCCTGTTTCCTCATCTCCCCCTAGTCCTGGCTGAGCTGGTCTGCCTGGTGCTTCAAGCCTCCCTCAGATCACAACAGAAACCCTTTTATTCTGTAACCCGTGTGTCAGACAAACATAATGTGTGAGGTGGAATCAAAGCACAGCTTTGTTTTTGTCAGCATGTATTTCGTGGTGTTACCTTCTCTCCCCTGCAGAAACTGATAGGCAGGTGACTTTTCTGCTCACGTTGAGCTCAGCCACTTTATCTCACAAACCCACAATCTCAGGCCATAACCCATCATCCATTTGTATGGAATCCTGAGCTCCCTGAGGCTCTAGGGGAGTGTGTCCCCTTTTTGGGTGCAGCTGTGTGTGTATATAGGTGTGTGTCTGTGCATGTCTGTGTATCTGTGTATATGTGTGTGTATGCATGTGTATGTGTGTCTGTGTTCATGTGTGTGTAGGTGTGTTTGTGTCTATGTGTGTACGTGTGTATGTTCATATGTGTATGCATGACTGTGTCCATGTATGTGTGGGGGGGTGTGTGTGTATGTGTAGGGAAGGAGAGGCCCTGCCTTCCTCCATTCCTGGGTCTAGTGTTTCTCCCTTCCTGCTCTGGCTGACCTCTGAGCTTCTAACTCCTGTGGAATCAGGGCTAGAGAGAGGGCCCTGTCCCAGGTGCTCACCACCCCTGTCATCCAGGCACTCTCTGGACGGCAGATGTTGAAAGCTGACTTATTTTCCTGTGGGTGCTTTCCAGAGATTCCTCAGAGAGCCCCCCATGAGCCCTCCCACTGCACCTCCTGGGATATGGCAGATGCTGCATCCCTTTAGCTGCTGTCCCTGGCCCCTGGTTCTCAGATGGTCCACTCCACAATCTCTCACTGCTGTCACTCTTTGGGGGTGCCACAGGCAGGATTCAGAGCAGTTCCAGTCCATCCTCATAGTGGTCTCCTCTCCTCCCAGGAAGTCCTTGCGTTCCTTG